AGCCTCGCACTGACGCCGGCGCACACGTAGTGCATACCCGCACAAGCCTGTGCACGCCTCGCTCAGACACGCAACAGACCTCGTAGAGACAGGGCGATCGCGAGCTCCACCGTGCCCCGAGACCCCGTACTCCGCACGACCCTTAGAGTCATTGCGCCTTGCAGAAATTAGAGAGTCGAGCATTCTCTAAGCCTCGCGCCCCACGACATGTAGACTTCGAGATTCGCGGATAGGTCTGTGCCCCGTGAACCTTGCAACGTCCCAAACTCCCTAGACACGCACCCCGCATCCAGGCCACGCCCAGGGACCACCACCAGCCAGCGCTCCATGGGTCGTTGCGACTTATTTTCGAAGTTCGATTTTTTTATGCCCTTTTTTTAGGACCATTTATTGGGATTAGTGCTCAACCTTAAAAATAATCGTTCCAGATCGTTTGGAACAAGAAAAAATAGCCGAGAGACCTTGGAAAAGGCTCCCAAAAACACCGAAAACCTCATGTAATTTCTCCTTTCTTTTTATGTTTATGGTTGGATTCTTGGAGTTTTTTGGATTGCGATTGGACTCATGCAATTCCTAACCCGATTGTAAGTTTTATTTCTCTATTATTATTGTTCAGTGGATTTATGTTCTTTGATTCGATTGACATGAAATTCAATCCGAGTATGAGATTATTCATTCACCTTGGGCTAGGGTTCTTTAACCTTGTAATTAATTATTTTTAATGTGTATTGTTTAACTTGTGCACGTTGAACGAATAATATAGTTAGTCGATTGATCACCGCCTAGTTCACTTAAATAGTCCATTAACCGAAAGGGTGTGAATTGTTCGACCACGACGTGCATAGGGTAGACTGTTCGTAAAAGTATTGTCTGTGTGTTATTTGTTTGATTGAGTTTGTCGTTTATGTGTGTGCTCTTGTTATGAAAAGTTATTGAGCATAAACTTCAAGACGTGTAGGCTTTTTGAATCACGTAACTGAACAAATAAGCATTCAACATAGTTTAGGACTTGTTGAGAATTCCCGACCCCTAGAACTTCTTTTTTTTTTTAGTCGTGATTTATTTGCTTTCTAGTTCTACTTAGTTTTTCTTAACTCATTAAATTAATCTTGATTAGAATATTTAGGACTTATTTTATTTTAATGTGCGATCGACACTAATTTTAGATTTTGAACCGCCTTCCTCGAGAAATCGACCTGAGGTCGGGATTCATTCTGTACTCAGTAATAAAACAAAATTTGCTACAACAAAATGGCAGCCGATTAACATGCCCAACTTAACAAACTGGTCACATTGACCGTCTTTTTCCCGTGAAATAGCGTAAATTCAGGTTCTTTTTTTCAGTTATATGTTGTTTTGTAAAATCAACGCAATCACTAGACTATTTTTCAATTTAGTGTCAGTTACATGACTAAATTTTCAATTTTTCGAGCTTGTTACAAAAATATAAAACCATATTTTGACTCAACATGAGTAAACTTACCACTTAGTATTTTTACTGACTGAGAGGTCTTTATTGAACTTAAAGGAACTAACAAAAGGGACCTTGCGGCTTATTAATTTGACTCAGCATGAAGAAACCGGCATAATTTTAAAATTGATTCTATAATTTGGCCACAGTCCAAAAAACCACCCTGATATTGATCACTTTCAAAATTGGTCCTATAATTTCAAAATTTGATCAAATTTGGTCTTTTTTTTATCCAGAACATGGATTAAAATTTGATTAAAGAATAACCAAAATTTAATAAAAAAAGGACCAAAATTGATTAAATTTTAAAATTATATGATCATTTTTTAATGTGGTCAATATCGAGGTGGTTTTTTGGATTGTGGCCAAATTATAGGACCAATTTTAAAAATAATCCCTGGAGAAACCTATAGAGTTCATATTTAGTAAATAGTAAATTGACTTATTGAGAGATATTTCTTATACTTAATGGAATTGATAGAAGAGGAATTGCGGCTTAATTTGACTCCACACGAGAAAATCTAATATCTTCGTACTTAGTAGATTAACTGACTGAGAGCTATTTCTTGAACTTAAATGAATAGATGGAAGAGAGCTTGCACCTTAATCAATAGATTTACTGACTGAGAGCTATTTCTTGAACTTAAATGAATTGATGGAAGAGTGCTTGCACCTTAATTTTGTAACACGGGGAAAGTTACCAAGTTCATGCTTAGTAATTACATTGGTTGATTGAGAGCTCTTTCTTGTACTTTAAGAGATTGATGAAAGGGAGTCTGTAGCTTAATTTGACTCAACACGACAAGACTTACCAAGTTCATACTTAGTATAGATTGACTGACTAAGAGCTCTTTCTTGATTTTATGGACCTTAGACGGTAGTTCATGACAGTTATTCTTAATTGGTGAAGCAATTTGTCTGGAAACTTCATGTATATCATACAGAGTAAATAACCTCATTTACTTTGCTTGATAGGATAGGATAATAAAAATTATCCCCGTAAAACAAATGTTTACTTCAATAGACAGAGATAGGATATAATTTAGTAGCGAGGCCCACAAGGTAATCATCTATAAGCCGATTATTCCATCCCGAGGGGACCCCAGATTCTTTTATCCCTCTTTAAAAACCGTATTTTTTTATAATCGTATTTTTCAAGACAATCAGCTACTGTTTAACAATCGTATTTTTCAAGACATACGTATATCTTCATATTGAAATAATGTTGTATTTTAAAACTAATAATATCTCACCACAAAATTTAGTTGCCGACTGCCACTTTGACTATGGAATCTAAAAATGGACAAACTTCCTAGCTAGGGTTAATTAAGGTACTATTTGGTCCCATCAATGAATAAATTAAAGTGTGAACTTAAGGAACAAAAATGATTTATATTAATCTAAATATATTCTTTTGTCTACGAGACACAAATTAATAGGACTATATATAATTGATAGATGAGTCACTATAAAAATAATGAAATCTTGTAGGCATATCTTAAGGTGTCTAGGATAGGTGAGAAAAATTGGATTAATCACAATTAAGATGAAAAAACTCTTTAAATATGTGATCAAATTGATATTTTGCAAAATACTATGGAAAAAAATTATATTCTTTTATTTATATTTGGCGACTCAAAATGGTTTATTTAGTCAAATGTTATGCTCTCATAAATGACACATAAATGACATACATATTAGTAAGTTTTACTTTTTTTTTTTTCTTTGGAATCATTCAAATTTGACGCTAATTGAACAAAAAGAATCTTATATGTAGTACCTTTTATGACCACATTCAATTTTTATTTTTATTTTTATTTTTGGATTGACATTAAAAAAATATGTGATAGTTCATTTATGTCCCGACAAAATTGCTACAACATCTACGACGAACATAAGCAAAACAACACCGCTACGTACCCCTCCAATTTCAATTCTGTTGGTTTTTGATCTAGTGGCATTTTTTAGTCATGAAATCTGAACATTTTGTTATCTGATCATATGATTTAAAAATTCAACGAAACAATAAAATTTTTCAATTACAAGACTCAAATTGTTAATAAAAATCTTTGAAATGATTTTTTGATTAGCAATTTAAATCTTGTAGTTTAATATTTTTGCTGTAATTTCAGAATCTTGGGACCAAAAAGCAAAAAGTTAGAATCTTGAAACCGAAAATGCTATGACGTTAAAACATCAGGACTAAAAATACAATTTTGTCGCGAATATATCAATTTCAATGACATTTTTTGTTACAACTGAAATTATCGAAAAAATATTAATGTAAATTTCATATTCTAATGGGAATTTCTATAAAAAAAAAAATTTCAGAATAGTAATTGTTGTAAAGTAATCATCTAATTCCAAATTTCAGTTAATCTCCACTAAAATATTTTTAAAACTCTCCAACCAAAATTATAATATCGGAATATTCCTTGAAACTTATGTTGAAATATTTTACGTTGGAATTTAATTATGAGAATATGATTCTTTTTAACT